CCCGAGTGTTTGTCCGGCCGGGGCTCGAACCCTCGACCTCCCGCAAAACAGTCCAGCGCTCTATCTATTGAACTAACCGGGAGGCGAATTACGACTATAACTACAAATAAATTCATAATAACAACTCCCAATATTACATTATGACAAACAGTTCATGTGGTCTCTCTTTTAGCAACATCATGCGTGTACTCATCTTACGGGAAGTAAAACTTAGAAAAAAGATAGGCCTACTTACCGTGTGGTTTGTTTATTCGTTTGTTTGTTTGTTTTTGAAATTTTATTTAGGGTTAAGCGAAAGGGGTTAACACGGTCAATGTGAAGCTTTGTTGAATCAGTTGGTCTTTTTACTTCAAGTTTCTCCCCAGATCACTAAGCCTCCGATAAACCAGTCTGTAACCGAAGGGTATCCAGTCAACTTCAGTTGCCGAGCCTCAGGTGTACCAACACCAACCCTAGTCTGGCTTTTTAATAATGCTAACCTCAATCAAACCGATCACGAAGGAGAATCGTTGCTAGAATTGCCAAGTGTCACAAAAGAGATGAAAGGCACTTACAAGTGTGAAGCGAAAAACGAAGCAAATACTACTAGTTCCTCTGCAACACTGCGCGTTTATGGTAAGTTTAATGATAATGATAATGATGATAATGACTTTGACGATAACGATAACGAAAACAAAGACGACGAAATTGGAGAAGGGGACGGATATGAAGATAAAGCCGTAGTGATTTGCGACACGAGAACAAATGAAGAAAAAAATAGAAGTGACGGCACCATCATGGGTTGACTGATACGAATTAATGTAATTGCTGCGGTGATTATATGGATGTGCGCGGTTTTTGATAAATCGAGCGGGTAGATTTTTTTAATAATCATATCCTTGGCTGGGAAACATCGCGTTTGCAAATTTGTAAAAGGTATGGAATGATGTGACCTATTTGCTGATCAGGCGCAAACAACTTTTGGTGAGCATAAGCATATTAAATTGCCAGCTTTTATAACTGCGGGTTGACGTGTGAACGCAGATAGATATCAACCCTGACAAGTGAATAGGCGAGTGCTGTATTTCCTGTGAAGGAAGGAGCAAAAGTTCAAGACCAATGAAAACAAACTAGTGTACGTTTGGCCGCTGGTATTACAGATTTATAACTTGTTTGGCTACTGCATGTAAATATTTCGAGAAAAAATGGGCATTCTGCGCAATGTGTTGTTGAATAATTCCCGAGACGAAGCCTTCCGCGCGTAATTTTTAAAAACTCGATGACAGGCAGCTGAAAAAGCAAGACGCAAATCCATCAATTATTTATGCGACGCACAATTGAGAATCTCAACTATGAGCCAGGGGATGAATAGATCGGGATACATAATCGATCTATGGAGTCCTTTTGATACGATTGTCAAGAAGTTGATTTAAAATTTCAAAGTATTAGAACCATTGGAAATTTTCTATATTCTTAGTCGTAATTTTGGGCGCTCGCGACATTAACCAATCATTTATCAATACGGGGCTTCAAGTTTTTTTGTGAGGCCTTTTTCAAACCTTTTTTATCCAAAGCAACATGTTCCAAATGTTCCTTTTATGAGGTCAAATTTACCTTTTTTGTTTTTATTAATCCAATTTTGTTTTACTTTGGAGAGTTGTAAATGTGAGTTAGGATTTTTTTCAATCAATTACCCCTTATTTACAACGTAGGAAAATCCTCTGCTCAAGTTGCTCCAGATCCATATCCAACACTCACAATAGGAGATGTCCTCACATTGACCTGCCAGGTCAACGAAGACACGATAAATGTAACTTGGAAGAAAGATGGAGACTTGCTATCGAAAAGAGCAAAGATTTCTAAACAATGGAATAAGAAACAGAGTAAACTTACCATTAATGAGGTTTTGGAAGAAGATGGGGGAAGCTATTCGTGTGAAGGACATAACAAGCTTGGGTTTGTGGCCTGCTCCTACGTAAAAATAACTGTCAAAGGTGAGCACATAAAACTTCAATAATCAAGTAACAAGGTCATTGTTATAGAAGAAAACTTCCACTCCTTACTTTCTTCTCTAGTTTACTATTGGTTTTTGTTTTCTGAAAAAATTTTATCTTCTTTCTGCCTGCTTTTCCAGAACAATAATATGTGTGGTAAGTTTACCCGAGGAAACCCTCGCGAATATCAACACCAAATTGGCTCGCATAGTGAAACAGAACAGACAAGACGGGCCAGTAGTACTGGCAGTATAATAATGGGAAGAAACTTACCATTAATGAGGTTTTGGAAGAAGATGGGGGAAACTATTCGTGTGAAGGACATAACAAGCTTGGGTTTGTGGCCTGCTCCTATGTAAAAATAACTGTCAAAGGTGAGCACATAAAACTTCAATAATGAAGTAACAAGGTCATTATTATAGAAGAAAACTTCCACTCCTTACTTTCTTCTCATAGTTTACAATTGGTTTTTGTTTTCTGAAAAAAGTTATTTCTTCAATTTAAAAAGAGATGACAAACAGTTGCAGAACCTTATACATGTAGATATCTACATACCACACTTTTTCCCCATGGAGAATCACAAGAAAATAACCTCGGATCTCAATATATTATCAAGGTTCCAATTTTTTGTGGTATTACATTGGTGGATCAGTGGCAGCAGTAATTGTCGTTTCGCTGATTGCCTGTTTCTTTTGCAAACGTCGAAGGACAGGTGAGGCCCAGTTGTCTTGTTTTATTTTAGCTAGCTTTGTTTAAAGTGAGAAAAGCTAGAAATGGTTAAATTGATTATTTTTGTCTACCTCAGCCCACTCTTTAACTGTTTCCTCGAGCTGACCCTTACACATAGAAAAAACAATAAAACATACCAACGGAAATTGGATTTTTTCATTATTATTATTGTAATAATAATAATAATGATTAATATTTTGTGTTGTAGATAATAATGATAATTATTATTATTATCAATGTCGGTATTTTGAGAACAATTGAAAATTTTAGCTAATATTCGGTGCAAATTCAAATCATGCTGCCATTGTATGGCAATTTTATAAGATACTTGATTAACTAAAGTAAAACAAAGTTTTTCCTTCTTTGTCTCCTTCCTTAAATTCTTCAATTGGAATTGCAGCTATGGCTCTGTAAGTCAACTGTTTTACCTTTTAATCATCAAATTTCTACACGTGGAGTTCTCGCCCTGTGCTTTAATATTTCCCATGCTATCTCTATAGTCGGTAACATAAACTTACTATAGTTTTGGCTTTTTTGTGAAGCATTGTTCACTTTCAGCCAAAAAAGTTAAATTCTCTCATTACCCTTCTCATGAATCACGACCTTGAATGATGACTGTAACGGAGATAATATCACTACTTTTATCATGGACAATATACCTAATTATTATATGGCTGTGTCTCACAAGGACTAGGAACTACAGAATTCACGAATTTGATTGGCTGAAATCAATATTGAAAGCAGTCTAGATTTTCCCATCTAGACCGGCATCTAGAGCGGTCTAGAAAAAAAAGGTACAAAGAATAGAAAAAATTGGCATATAAGACAGCCATACAATAAACATCTTATTAACCGAGCTAGGTCGGTCTGTATGGGATAATCTTGATCTCGGTCGCTGATACAGACCTCATAACGCTCGGTCTGTACTGGCGAACTCTGTCAAGGTTCTCCCATACAGACCTCCCGCTCGGTTATTAAGAACTAATTAACATTCATCAATTGTTATTTAAAATCAGCTTCGTTTGTTCGTTTGTTAATTCTTTTCTTTCTTGTCTCACAAGTCTCTTTGAATTCCATTTGTTTGTATCGTTAAATTCAATGTCCTTTTTCCTTTAATTTGACATTCAAGTATAATTTTCTGGTTTAGAAACCACCTAAAAATGTTTCCATGATTGATTTCAACAAACAACGTGGTTATTTTTTTTTAACTTTATCCGATTTGTAGTGTACTTACATAATCATGGTTACAAACGTGTTTTGTGATAAAATAGGTCCCTGGTTTTGAAAAACTTTGTGTTCTCACCATCTCTATGGGTGTTTAAATAGATATAAGTCAGGGCAATCAATCAGATCATACTAGCAAATTAATATTAACGTTTTTGCGTCTGATCTCTTCTTACTTTATCGCTTTTCTTTCTTCTAACCTAGTAAATATGTAATGCTTCCAATTTTCAGTCCTGATCAAGAGCAGGCAATTCAGATGGAGCCATTGAATGTAGAGGTAGATGAATGGGAGATTGAGGTGAGCCGTGTCCTGCTTCAAGAAGTCATTGGGCGAGGGGCGTTCGGAGCCGTGTGGAGGGCTCTGCTGAGCTCACCAAATGGAAGACCTGGAAACCGAACAGTCGCCGCTAAATGCTTCACGCGTAAGATTCCTTTAATTCGATATGTTCATACATATATAGATTCCAGGGGTGGATTAAAAGAAGTTTATTCTCAAATCAATACACTCCCTTCCCCACTCCTCTTCGCCCACAGATAAACACAGAACAAACGCGAGAAGAGGCAAACAAATTAATTGAAAAGAATCAGCCTGTTTGGCGATACTGTCATTGCAAAAAAATTTTGTGTCGGGTATTTTTGAAGGGGTGGAGAGGAGGGGGAGGGTGGTCTCCCGTATCTTCCCTCGAGGTCTACATCCGCCACTGGATCCACTGGAGCTTACTTTTCCCTTAAACTATGTTTTCTCAAAGTGCAAGTACTTCCAATACAAAGTTACTCATTCCCACTTTTCCAGTGGTTGACTTCTAGGGTTGACGGAGGCAATGTAACAGACTGAGTGGATGGTGGTTTTCGATAGTATTTGGGATGTTGCGGATGGTCAACGCACGGCCGTCGCCCTGGGTTCTCATACGGGACTTCTACGATTTCGTGCATGCACAGTGGCGGTATCTCCGAACGGTGCCACGAGGCCGTCGATTTCAAACCTCTTTATATCGTTCACTTTTTCTCGATTCCGTCATAATGTTGTGTTAATCACTGTAAATATTTAGTGTGAGTTTTCTCGAAGCCTTCGCAAAGAATTTTGGTTTATAAGTTCCAATTTTTTCCCGGTTGCCAATGCAACAATTGTTCAAATTAATATTTATCATTTTCAACGATTACTCTCAGCATTTGTCACCACTATATAAATTGCATCAACTCAATACGTTATATATTATATTGATGATCGAATAACCTTTATTTTTAATATTGTATATATATATATATAATGCTTTTCATATTTTCTTTGTCAATCACATTTGTCATGAGCCTCTGGCTCGGGAGATCGGGGCAACTACTCCCTGTGTAATTGACTTGAAATAAATACTTACTTATTTACTATATAAATACGGAACAAAAGCCACAACAACAATAATTTACCTAAGGATGCTAAAGAAAGAAAACCAAGAGTCCATTGTTAGGATTTGAACCTACGCTGGTTCCGATCTTATATCGACTCAGCAGTGTCTGGGGAGAACTCGTCGGTGAGTTGAGTAACGTATCGGTTTCAAATAAAATGATCTAAATGGTAAAAGGAAGATGTGAGGTTTGAAACCCAAATAGACTAGTTCTCATTCTAAAGCTTGAAACAAATGCATTTATCAGAATGATTATCTATCCATCATGAACATACCCTGTTTTTGTAGCCACTGCTGGAGAGGATGGAAGGAAATGTTTGATGAGAGAAATTGAGCTGGGAAAACTTATCGGTGAAAACAATCAGCCAAACATTGTAAAGTTCAT